ACGAGGGAGCCAAGGGGAAAGGAACACACACACACACACACACACACGAGGGCAATAGAGTACAACAGAAAAACATGAGAACTAACAAATCTAGAAATAACAACAAAACTGGAAATAAACCAATAAAACTAGAAAACAAGGAGCAAAGTAAAGAACAGCAGAACCAAGACCATGATAACAGTCGGTACGGAAAGTATTCCCCATCTTGACAGAAAAACAGAGATGTAGAAATTTTTGCAAATTTATTAAAAACAAATGAAATCATCGTCATAAGTATTCAGACCCTTTGCTCAATATTGATTAGAAGCAACCATTTGAGCTAGTACAACCATGAATCTTCTTGGGAATGATGAAAGAAGTTTTGCACACCTGGATTTGGGGATCCTCTGCCACTCTTCCTTGCAGATCCTTTCCTGTTCTGTCAGGTTGGATGGTGAGTGGTGGTGGACAGCCATTTTCAGGTCTCTCCAGAGATGCTCAATTGGATTTAGGTCAGGCCTTATAGACAGGTGTGTCTCTCCTGATCAAGTCCAATCAGTTTAATTAAACATTTCAAAGAAGGAGCAGAAACATCTCAAGGAGAATTAGAAGAAATGGACAGCATTAAATATGAATGTCACAGCAAAGGGTCTAAATATTTATGACCGTTTGATATTTCAGTTTTTTAAATAAATTTGTAACATTTTTTACATTTGTTTTTTTCCTGTCAAGATGAGATACTGAGTGAACACCAAGAATAAAATGAACTTTTTTTTTTATTTCAGCAAATGGCTGCAATGAAACAAAGAGTGAAAAATTTAAGGGGTCCGATTACTTTCCATACCCACTGTATGTACACAGTATTGGTGATGTTCCACAAGTTTGTGATCTTCAGCCTAAAAACCATATTCCCTTAAAGTAGGGGGGTTAAGATATTGGTTTAATCGCAGCTGTCAATTATTTTGACAACCAGTTAACAACATGGGTGTCTATAAATTCAGTCTTCAATAATAAACTGCTCTAACAAACATTAAGATGAGCTATATTTCCATTATTCCAGGTGCAACGATCATCAAGAGATGCTGACATCAGAGGCTTAGTGGTTATGAGTGTGATTACTGAGCACTTTATCCTGTGGGAATTCCTGTAAGTGAAAAACATGTTTCGAATGCTACAAGAAAAGTAGAACTGGAAAAGAAAGTAACTCAGAACTGATGACAGGATGCTGTACTTGACCTACTGTAAAGCTATATTGTAAATAAACTTAAATATGATATTGTAGATAAATAAAATGTAAATGTTTATACAAAGCATGTGACTTTGAGATATCCTACAGTTTTACACACGACTGAATCAATAAAAATGATAACATGTGAATTGAAAAAGATTTTATTTCTCTACTGTGAGGAGAAAGAATCAATAGAAAATCTATTTTGCCTCCAAACAACACACTGGATCACCATCTAGGTTTGTTTCAGAGCAAAGAAAATGTTACCGTAATATACAAGTCATAAGATGACCTTAAACAGTAAAACTTAAAAAAGGTATTGTACAAAAAACTGGTAGTGTAAAAGGCTCCATTGTCCAGCAGCATGTAAAATAAACGTACATTTTGAAACTGAAAGTTCACATATATTCATCTGGAATAGAAAAAAATAAGTAAATTCTTCTTTGTTTGTTTAGTTGTCTCAATCCTGCATAATTTATTATTTTGTTGTAATTCTCCATTGTGAGCAGACATCACTGAGAAGGACTTCGCTGATTGAAAAGTCAGTTTGTTACCCAAAATGAAGGCCATCAACTAAAAATATGAAGTTCTTCAAAAAAATAAAATAAAATAATTCCCTTTATGCCACTTCTGAAATCTTGATCCCTTCATAAAATTTAAATTTTTTTTTTTTTTACATCAACTTTCAGGAATGTTGTCAGAAAAAGGCATGAGTCAATCCACTTCATTTTAGGTCCTGAATCTCTGCACATAGTCAGCCGGGTTTTGTCTGAGTGGCCCCGGAGGGAGCTGGGACCCGCTGTTCTTCCATCCGCTTAGACTGGGAACGCAGGATGAGACTAAAAAAGTCCTCGTTTGGAACCGTCGGCCCCATAGCTGTAGAAGTTGGAGCAGCACATCGCTGGTCGTTCAGTCTGGAGCCCTACAGAGTCAAAATCAAAATTTTTAGCTTAAAGAAAATGAATAATTCATCTCTATAATAGAAGGTATCATTAAAAGAAAACAAGCTTAAATTTAAACAATGCCCTGAATTCTGGAGACTTTCAAATGGGCATAAAATAAATGAGTTTCTTTCAAATTGATGGACAAAAATATAATAAAATACATTAAATAATAAAACAAATATTGCAAACATAAATTATTATCAAATGAGGAAAAAATATATTTACTTTGGATAGATTTGGGATTTTGGATAAAAAAAAAATCTTGGGGGCCCACAAAACAATATCATGATTCATAATTATTAAATATTAACACTTAACATTGAGGTATAGCATAGTGGTGAGCATCATATGTTCCTTAACAGTTTAAGGAACAACAACATGACTTAAAGGGGACATATTATGCAAAATCCACTTTTTTACCTTTTTATACATGCTAATTTGTATTTTGAGCCTCTATAAATGAAGAACATTGCAAATTAAGGCCTTTGGGTGCAGCAGAAATATTTTTGCAGAATGTTTGGGGTGAGATTTTAGGCTCCATTTGAATTTGACTTTATCTGTGACGTTTTCATATCTATGACGTCATTGTCCCTACAGCGTAAATACAAAATATGGCCACCGACTTTTTACTTAGCAGCTTTGACAATCTGCCAAGCTTATTGACCTCTTTGCATTTTTTGTCCAAGAGATTCCACGCTACGGATTGCCAAAAGTAGTAGACAAGCCTAAATGCTTTGCTGTTGGGTGCATAAACCAGACCTAAGTCATCAATTCAATTCAGTTTATTTATACAGCGCCAATTCACAACACGTCGTCTCAAGGCACTTTACAGTTCAACCAGATCATACAGTCAAATTGATTCAAAGTTTTGTATCTAAGGAAAACCAGTTGATTGCATTGACTCATTGACTCAAAGGCAATCCCTCACACTAAGCATGCTTGTAGCGACAGTGGAGAGGAAAAACTCCCTTTTAACAGGAAGAAACCTCCAGCAGGATCAGGCTCTGTGTGAGCAGCCATCTGCCGAGGCCGACAGGGGTTCAAGGAGACAGAAGGAGAGATACAAAAAGCAGCTGTAAAAGGCGGCCAGGCATCACACCACCTACCATTGGGGGCTCCTTGTTGGTTTTGGTTATATTTAATTTTTCGAGAGAACATACCCGAATCTTTGGACAAAATCACATTCTTCTGTGCCGGGCACTTTAGGGGCAATTGCTTCTTCAATCACTACCTTTACCAGGAGGGAATCGCTGAAAGGCTTTGGCTTATTGATGGGTCTCTTCCCTCAACTTTATGAGGATGACTGGCACTTTTTTTAGGTAAGCCAATATAAGTTTGTTCGCCACAAAATGTTTCTCGGCTAGAAAACTACAAGCCTGGCTGGTCCTGGGGGACGTAGCGGGTCGGCACCCTGTAAGGGGGCGAGGCGTAAAGCACCTCATTTATATTTCAAGACCACAGATAAATGGGGTGCTCTTGAAGCTCTTCACAACTGAGACAAAAAAAGGTTATGTGGAGGTATAATAATGAGGATGTAAGACACAAAAGTACCATTTCCACTTTATTTAGAACTCAAATGAATAATTTACATATAAAAAGAAACGTTTTAAAAGCATAGTCCCCTTTAAAAAGCCATTTCTTTAAAAATGTGGGGTCCTAGCACCATTTATTCACAGGATTCAGACAAGAAACTTCTATAGAGACAAAGTGGGATGATATGCAGCAAAGCCTATAAGGTTGACAATCAAAACTAAAGTTGTTTTGTTCCTCAGCAATTTGCTAATAGTCACCTGGAATTATAAGCCAAGTGTAAATACATTTTAAGCATGTGTGTTTTTTGGGCTAGAGGAATTTAGAACCATTAGGGCTAAAAACGTTATTTGAAACTTTGTAGAATAAAGCAACACTACCAACTCTCTTGCCTTGTTAATTGGGTTTCTTCCTTACCTGGCATTTTACAAGCATGTCAAAGAAGACTTCATCTCCTTCTGGCCCTTCAGCGCTGTCCTCGAGGTGGTTGTACAGGGAGGGTGCGTGAGGAGTATCTGCACTTGAGACTAGTGCTATAAAGACAAAACAAGCTGGTATCATGATGTGAACGGTGATTTAAAAAAAAAAAAGGGTTTAACAGAACGGATTAAACCTCTTATATGAATCACCTTGAGACTGTGCCTGGTCTTTGCTGGAGGTGAAGGGTGTAGGAGGCTGGTTGCAGCTGTTGAGACGCAAGCCAGGAAACTGGTTGAGGCTGACTCTTTGGTCGTCCAGACGACGGGCCTGGGAGCTGGCCAGCAGCTCCAGGAAATGACCAGGATCCTGTGATGGAGTTTCGTGTTCTGAAATACCTAAAAACAGAAAACTATGGCAGGTAAGAACATTTTTATTACCCAAACATTTTTTTTTGATTTGGAGGGAATTAGATTTTCTCAATTTCAAAGTAATATTTCACCCAAAATACATTAACAATACTGTCATGATTCAATATAGATTTCCTCACTGGAGGATAAAAATAGATAGACTTTGGGTGGAGTATCACTATATGAAATAAATGTCGACATTTTGCATTCATACCATATGTGCAGGAGTGGCAAAGCCTTCTCTGAAGTGGGTATTATCAAAAACAAAATAATTTTAATCAGGAAAGGCTACAACAAAACCTAGTTAACCAGATCTTTAAAATGTATTTAGAAGATAATTGTTAACACATATGGTGTGAACACATGAAAACAGGACACACTCACATTTCCCCTCAGCTACGGGTAAGCTAGAGGAAGGGGAGGATGGGGCGGAGGGAGGGCTCTGGTCATCCAGTGTACACCTTTGGTCGTCCATTCTGTTCCCTTGGAAACGGGAGAGGAGGTCAAAAAAGTTGTCGTCCCCTATGGTATCATGGGCTGTTGACTATGGGGTTAAAAAAAAAATAACATACAAGATAGATATAAAAAAAAACGATTGAACAAAAAAAACATAAAAAAGAACATCAGTTATTTGAGGTGGTCGACTGGCCAAGAACTAAACATTTGTAAATTCCAGTGACTCGTCAATCAGTTCATTTATTATTAGGCTACATAAAATTCTGACTAATGAAAGTATGAAGAGTCTTTATTCCTTTTTGCAGAGACATTTAATCCAATTACCTTAGAAATGACTTTATTGAACTACTATGTAGTTTAAAAAAATCTGAAGGTCAGTAAAGAAATCACTTCATATCAGAGGCTTTGAAAGGTTTATGATAGTTTAAATTGAATTTCTTTCAACCTGTAAGGAGCCGTTTATGCAGTTTTTATTTATATGTTTTGTTGGGTTTTGGAGTCAGTATTTTGTTTACAAACAGGTCAACATTCTGACCTATATATTTTTAATTTTTTTCATGATGGGAGGTCATGAGGTTTTTGCTGCTCCCTCGTAGCGACAGACTAGTTCACCTTCACCATACTTTCCAGTTTACCATAATGGGTCAACCTTCCAACCTACTGTCATACCACCTTGGATTTTGGACAGTCATTCGTTTTCATTTTGATTTCAGTAAATGGGACCCAACCAAAATCTAGCTCCTAACACAGACACCATTTCTCTAAGCGCACTAGAATCAGGATCCCCCACAGCAAGAAGCAATTAAAATGTAAAGACTTACATAGTGGCTATAACACCTTTTTTTTTTTTTGACAACAAAGAAAAAAATAATCTGGACAAACTATATAATTTTTGATTTATGCCCATTGATATTAATGCAGCTCTATCAACATATATCACAACCCCAACGGTGTAGTTGTGTAAAAAAAAAAAAAAGCCTGAATGCAAACTATATCATTTTGCAAAATAACTTTGCTGCAGTTTTTTTTTTTTTTTAACCAGTGACCTTTTTGTGTTAATTTTTTTCTCTTTTGTGCCATTCTCCTCTGAAGGACTGCATTGTAAGCTCAGCTCCTTGCTGGCCTCATCTGTTGCTTTTTTAACTTGTTGCTCAAGGACACATATCCTTGGAGACATTTCTTGATTTAAGAAGAAAACACTCATTTGTAATCCAAAAAAAAATCTAATGATCTCATCCGTATCTTACTTTACAAAGTGGCAGCCGTGATGTACTTCTGAGAAATGGCATTTTTTAAAAAAAAAACCCAATAAAAACATAAAAAGATTAAAAGCTTCTTGATGATCACAATTCTTTTAGAGAGAAAATGATTGATAATACATTTAGGATTGGTAATGTAGGCGTTATGGGTCATAATGGATTTGTGTATTTGGTAGATACCTTAGAAGGGACAGGCGAGTCCTGCTCCGGGACTGCGTGCTCACTGCAGTTTTCCAAGTTCTCTTTAGATTTGCTGTTCTTGTGTTTCTTGCTTTTCAGTCGGTGGAAGAGAAAAAGCTTAGTAGATGCCTTGATTGTGTTGTTTTTTGATGAGCCGGGAAAGAGATGCCCGTCCCAGTCCTACACAGACAAAGATGACTTTTTACACAACATATTCATCAACACAGATTACTTGAACAAGTAATATCTTTTATATACCTGATGTGGCTCTTCTTTCTCAGTTTTATTGGGACTCTGACTCCGTTCCATGGTTTCTCCGCTCCCTTTCCTTCTCAAAGATGACTTACACCCTAAAGCAAAAAAGAAAATGTAACTTTTTGCGAAGTTTAAATAGTTTTACAAGCACATAAAGAAACGGTAAAATCAAAGAAATCTTTTCCAGAGTTTAAATTCTGGCTATTTCCTGCAACAAAATGCAGCTGAAAGCATTTGAATGTTCCGACGGTAAAGGTAAATACCCAAAGAAGCATTGATTACCTGGCAGGGTGATGTAGCCCTGAATATTTTCTGCCAACCCAGAGTTGTTGGTATTACTGTTGCTGAACATGTGATTCAAGCTGGAGTTTGACTTTAAGTTAACCACGAGCCGTAAGTCAGATAAGTTCATCCTGGCGGTCACTTCACTGCTCTTATCTCCGGTCTGTACCATTAAAAATGGAACAACGGAAATTGGATTAAACAGACTGCCGCTGTGGAACATGCAACATCCCACAAATGCACATGCAGTTTACTTTAAAACCACCAGAGGGAGTTGTGGTTTCAGAAATGTTACAGAGAAAAAACCATGTAATGGGAGGTGAAGAATAAACACACACCTCTTTGGCAATTTCCAGATGTTTTTCAGCGAATAACATAGCGCTCTCATGATTCCCAAGGGCAGTGTGGGCATTTCCTAAGCTCCAGTACGCTCTTCCTTCACCCACTCTGCAGGGAGAAAAACCGGCTTAGCAACTGTAACTGACATGCAAGAAGCAAAAGCTCTTATCTCAACAATCTAAAATGTGGGTACATATTTTACAGAGCCAAAAATTCTCAGTGTGCATAAGAAAATTAGATGTGATTTGCAAGATTTTTAAAGCACATTTATATCCCCCATGTTTCTGTACTTTATTACATACAGTATTCAGGACTGATGGAAGGAAAGAAGTTAATTTGTAAAGTTTGCCTATATACTATATGTACTGTTTTACTTAAAGTAACTTAAAAGATATATATACACGTTTATGTATTTTTGATATTTGAACCATGCATCAGATTATAGTATTTAAAGGCCCATTTCATGTCACTCTGCCTCCAGATTAGTATTGTGGGCGTTCCTTCTAACGCTAAAATTTATTCAGTTTGAGGACCACCTCCATCCTCAGACTTCAAAGAAAGTCACAGGAAAGCAACCAACAAATGTTGCTGATTGCATACCGGTCATTTAGGTCCTGAGCAATGACCAGATGTTTGAGATGATAATCTATGGCTCTCTCGTAGTCCTGCAGCAGTGTGTAGGTGTTGCCCAGACTGTAGCATGCCTGAGCTTCCACTGCCTTGTCTTTCAACTGCCTGGCCAGCTGGAGAGTCTTCCTGAGGGCCGAAGAGACAGGGAGGAATGAGGTCAAAGACAGACAGGGATGAGTGAAGAAGAGTGATAGACATCAGCTTTTTCATTTTTTTTTTTGTTAGCATGTTTTATGATACACAAAAAAATTTAAAATCTGTGATTGTACAGAATAAAATAACTCTATAATTAAAGATATATCAAATCGGTTGGGAATCTTTTTAAACATGCAGCAGTGATCAAATTTAAACAGCGTGGGGGTAAAAATCATGGTGCAAAAAACAAAACACAGTGATATGGAAGTTCAGACCATTAACTATATATATGGTGCTATTATGAATTTTAGTTTGGTGTTGTCAGTGAGTCTGTGACATGATTTAGAGTTTTTTCAACAGTTCAGCTGTCTGATGGCGGAGGGGAAGGAGATGTTTCGGAATCTGCTGCACCTGCATCGGATGCTTCGAAGCCTCTTCCCAGAGGACAGCAGGGAGAACAGTCCATGATGGGGGTGTGAGGGGTCATTGGTAATGTTACATGCACTTTTTTCTTAAAATAAGTGCTTTTTTTATTGAATTGAGGAGGTAAGTATGACACATTTCCAATAGAAGAAAATTTACATTTAAAATAGGAAAAAATATTGCATTGTTTTATTTCAAGTGTATATTATTTCATTATATTATTTTAAGAGTAAATGTACTCATTCCATTGGCAAATAATCTTATTTACCTACTTAAATTAATGGTGAATACACCTAATTTAAAAAAAATTCTTGCTTATTTCTAGATTGTTTTTGCAGTCTACAGTGTAGCTGAACACAAAACTAGGTCCTTTTAGCTGCCACAATGTTAATAAAAATCGAATTTTTGCAGGGTTCTGCACAAAAACGATTCAAGATACCAGTTATAAATAGCTAACATTTACTACTTGAAGATATGCCAAAAATGCCCCTCAGTTGGTGTGATAACCTAATCATCCAAACTAGACCATTTCAGCTGAAACTGAATGAAATTCACTCTCAGCATTTAATCCATCCCCTTGGGGAGAAAGAGGCTGCCACTGTGCGTCCCTCTGGGAGCGGTGTGGGGTTGGGGGCCTTGCTAAGGGGGCCAGAGTGGAGGCTGTGGGAATGAGTGGGGCTTGAAGTCAGAACCTCCGGAACCCAAGCGCAATGCACTAACCACTAGGGCATCACTCCCCCCCATTTAGCATTTTCTCCATTTAGCTTTTATGTAAAAAAAAACAAAAAAAAAAACAAACAAACAAAAAAAGAACATACAAACATACCAAAGATTTTTAAAATTGAAGTTAATTTTTTCAGTAATGTAATTTATAAGGAAAACTCAAGTATTCTCTCCATATAAAATACTTGATTCAGTTCTTTTAAGTTAGCTTTTATTAGAAAACAAGGAATTTAGTTTCTTAGATAATAAGAATAGGGCCAATAAAAACAGCTTATTCTTCTTAAAACAGAAATTTTATATTAAGGCGAACACTGGTGGGATGAAAACTTTTTATAATATGGTCCAAAACCACCAAGTTAAAATGACTTAGGGGCCTTGTTTATAACTTTAAACGAAGGGGAATTATATTGTAATTCTTTCTCTCTCTGTACCTACACAGCAATAAATTAAATATGCAACATTTTTATGAGAAAAAGTAAACCCTAACTCTGATGTCTGCATGAAACGTATTATTGTTGGTGCTAAAAAAAGGTTCCCAAACATTTTACTTGGTATAAGAAGTGTGTAATTTAAAAATTTTCTTGGGTGCAATAAGAAATGTTTAATAAGACCTTTCCCTTAAAACACTTGCTGTATTTGGCCACGTTTAAGTTTTAAAGCAAAATACTATGGCTAGTTAAAAAAAAAATTATATATATATATATATATATGCATCTTTGTTTACACCATAATTATTACCCTTTATCAGTGAAAATTTTGTCCTAAAATATATCAAAATTTGCATGGACATCAGCTGGCGAGCTGCAAAATGGTTTTGTGTACAGTAGTTTTGCAGTTTCTGAGAAAACAAAGTTGCAGTATTCATAAGATGAAAGTCATAATCTTGTTATTTAGAGAGAAAACAATAGCAAATAGAATATGAATACCTTCTTAAAACATATTAATCTATTATAATTCTCTACAGCATTCCTTTACTGAAATAGGGTAAGAATAAGTGAAAATAACTGAGATGATCTTGCAGATAATGGCAAATGGATAATAGTTCTTTTTTTGTCAACTAGTAAGAAAACCTGACACTAAGCCTCAATTTTACTCACTTGTAGTGACTGGCTGCCATGTCGAACTTGCCCAGGAATATGTATGCGTTCCCGAGATTGCAGTGAGCCCTCCGCTCTGCAGACCTGTCACCAAACTCTTTAGCAATGAGAAGCCGCTGGATAACAGAGCAAACAGTAGGAAAGGATGACTGCCCTGACACCAGGTTTTAACCAGCTCGTTATGCTTGTTAGGAGGCTTGTATATGAATGAAACATAACCAAACATGCAATTTATCTCAAAAATGGACTAAAGCCTACCTTTTCATGAGCAGCTACGGCATTTTCAAAGTCACCCAGGAGATAGTAGGTGTTCCCAAGATTCCCATAGGTCCGACCTTGAGCTGCATGATCACCCAACTCCTTCACTAGGGACAGATTGGCTCTATGGTTAAAAATAATAAGAATTAAAAAGAAGCAAAGACAATACCACACCCTATCCAAGCTGCTATTAAAGCAATTCCATTGCACCTTCAATATTAAATTTTGACTATACAATTACAGAATAATTGATTTGTTTTATTTTTTACCAGCAACAGAAGAAGTCACACACAGTCATGTGTGCTGGCAAACAGAAAATCACATAATCTATTGGTCTAATATCAGTGATAATAAAAGGATTTTGTGAAAGTAAGTAAATTCTTCACTTCTATGCCATCCTGTGAAGTGCTTGGAAACGGGAATAAAAGGTGCACAAGGCTCAAACACATACTGTAAGAGCCAAGTCGTTTTTGCCTTAACATGCACCGTGTAACAACTATACTACAGAACAATTACCAGGCTATTCCTACAAGCTCTTGCTAGCTTATTCCTGGCTATAAAAAGTTGTAAGGAAGCCACAGGCGTTAAAGAGATGACATATTCTCTGAATTTTAAACTGTTTTTTTGCCAAGTAAAATATATATATATATATATTTTTTTTTTAACTTATATATATAAATATAAATAAGACAAACCCTTCACTCTTTGACATTTAAACAAATTGGGAAAAGCCTTATGTGGCTTTGCATACATGTGCCAGAATTATTTATTCAATTTTTCCTTTTGGATCGCCTAATTCCAATTATCCATTTGTCCTTGGTTGTTGGGCAGAAACAGCAGAAAGGAAGGTTTGGTTTTCTGGCTTGATTTTATTTTTAAAGAGAAACATTTTGCTTTGAAGTGGAAAGATACATCCTGAAGCCTTTGCTTAATACAGAGCAATGATGTATGAAAAATCCTAGAAGATAGATACGAAGGATATTATGAATTTGAGCGACACCCAAACCATCAAAGCCTTTACAGAATTCCAGAGGCTTTTCATGGTGCAACAATACATCATGAACAGCAATACAAACTTACTCATAGTAATGTGCTGCTTTCCTGAGGGCAATTCTAGCCTCCTCTGGAAAATCTCCTGGCTCTGTTCCACTCCAGCAGATGCTCTTACCCTTGGCGTGGTAAACGTTTCCAAAATTATACAGCGCTCGAGCCTGCCCAACCTACAGCACGCACATCACATTTTCACAGACAGAAACCACAGAGACGATGGCTGTAATTATATACTTAAAATACACAGACATATCAGCTTTTCTTGTTTGCATGCAGACTGGACCCTCTGAAAGTCCAGAGACTTCTACACTGAAAAACATCACCCAAATGTGACCCACCTTATCAACCACGGCCCTTGTAATATCCAAATGTCTTTGGCAACAAACGACAGCTTCCCCATATCTTCCTAAAACCTTTAATGTGTTTCCAAGATTGCCACTAGCTTTAGCTTCTCCAAGTTCATCTCCAATTGTTCTGGGATTACAAATAAAAGAAAGACAATAGATGAAAAAAGTATATAAGAGAACATTCTATTTGTAAAGTTGCTTAACAAACTTTGTCAGACTATATACACGCATGCATGCCCTCCTATGCGGAGTCCAAACCCACAACATTGTTTAGATGTTTACCTAGTTAGAGTAAGGTCATGTCGATGGTACTCTAGCGCTTTATTATATTCTTGTAGGTGAAAGTAGGCATTTCCCAGCTGGCTGTAGATGGCGCTGAGAATTTGAAGATCCTCTGTTCCAACTTGCAAGGCTGATTCGAAAAAAGACACGCCGGCGCGATAGTTACCCGCCTTACAGAGCCGCTCACCTTCAAGAGCCAAGTCCAGGCAGGATGACTCCATCCTGCAGAAACAAATAAAGATAGCTCTGAGAACAAATCACAAAGGGATCATGTGGATCCTACATTTAGCTACTTGATTGAAACCGATCAAATGCTTCTCTTTGATTTTAGAAAACGACCTGTTCAGTAAATGAAACTGCAGGAACAACCGATTGCTTTTCATATGATTTCCATAGAGAACAAAACCCCCAGAACAATCTTTCTTATGTAGTGAAAACTTTCACAAGGAAACAAAAAGCTGTAAATCCAAAATAGAATGAATAATTTCCTTCCTGTCATGACCACGAAGTTGTAAAAATGCCAAGGTTACCCCAGACTGAAAATATGTACTTTGCATTTTATTTTAAATGCTAAGTAAATGTATCCGTGGAGAGAAGCGCTATTTCAGAACTTGCTCTGGGTCTTTTTGGATGTGTCACACAGATATAACGCCTTAGGTCTCAATGACTTTGAACCATACAACCAGTGGCATTTAATAACACAGGAAGGTATTAATGCAGCTCTGAATCTGTTCGAGATAATTAAAGAGTTTCCACTGTGAACATCATTATGACAATAATATGGCCTTAATAAGTATAGGTCCCCCATCTGATGCTGTAAGCTAACAAACAGCTGACTGAAAGAAGGTTACGAGAATTTTCCCCTTATGTGCAACAAAGGAAATCAAGTGTTATAACATGGTCATAATAAATGTGTGCCGTGCCAGAGTAACTGTCTAAATGAGCAGTGATCATGACACATATATCGGAGTACAGAAAGTATTTATTAATCAGTCGGTCAATGTATATAGCTCACTTGTAACAGGCATTCAATGCACTGTAAATAAAATAAAACTAGATTCAATATGCAATAAATGTGCAAAATATACCTAGAAATAAAATGTATTAAAATGTAAAATAACAAAAATTACTACTGTTATGAAAAAAACATATATTAAGCAAACTGACGGAGACAAAATAAAAAGAAATGCAGAGATTTAGATTATAGAGTTGCAGCACTACTACAGAATTATTGTATAGGACTCTCCATGCCATTCTCACTCATAAAACCAAGGAAAGAATGAGAGACTTGGATCATCTAGACATTTTTTTTATATTCTCAGTAACTACATTTGCACCCTGAAACTTGTTGGTCAGTAAGAAACACTGCTAAGGTTTAGCTTACAGGTGTCCTGATCCGAAACTGAAACATCGGTCCGATAATCAGACAAAAAAATGAATATCTGAACATTTTAGCCAGCATCTAAAATTTCCTATATAGGCCGGCTGACAAATGTTCCGCTCTTACCAGTTTCCTAGTTTTTCTACGGTTAGTAAAATGTATCCTCCAAATACAGAAGAACATAAAAAAAAAAACCCAACAACATTCTGATGGAAATATAAGAAGATTTAAAAGATAAAAGATGCTGAATATATAAATTGGAGCCCAACATTATTAACACTTCTGTCACATGGTAATGCCTTTATGTAATAAATTAGCATTTTTCACTATAGGGAAATAATGAAGAACATCATCCAAATGGTTTTAAAACGATGTACCAGGGTATCCTTTCTAAAAAAAAAAAAGAATAAATAAAAACAATCATGTAGATTTAGATCTTTTTATTATTGTTAATCTTATCAATATCCTTCCTAAACTGCAAAGGGAAGTCTTCCATTGGGAATTTAGCAATTAAATCTTCCTGGTGTTTGTAGAAAGTCTTCTTGAATGAAGAGAAAAGAAAAATGATGATCCCCATAATTATTTTCAATGCTCCTTACAGATTTAGCTTTGGTCTTGCTGCTCAAATTGAAACATTACATTAACTTTATATCTGCCAGGGGCCAGATTTAGAGATCAAGTGATTTTTAAGGCCAATTCTAATTTTGCTTTTAAAGCCAACATAGTTTTTATTTCCTCCATTTAGATGATAGTAATGACACTGTGATAAATACTATAGAATTGTCAATTAAATTGGTCAAATGTAAGAAAAAAAAGCGTATATCAGGCATAGATGTTAAACGCCTGATAATCGGTGTACCTGTAGTATAAATAGCTTTGGGCTTAGTTGGGCTAAACTGTTAAATAGGAGCACCATTTTTTCAAAGTGAGTTCAATGCAGTGATAATGCATTTATGGTTTGTATACCCTAACTCTGACCAGCCCAAAAGAAAAACTAAATACAAGTGAATATTTTATGTTCTTCTTCATTGAGGGAAGTTAATTTGGGACAAGATCAAACTAAACAAAAGTAACCAACCAGTTACTTTTGCTTTCTATGGCTTTCTAAGGTGACGGTAGAAAGCATATGAACCAACCCAATCCTCTATGAAAGCTGGTTTGCCCTGTTTTTGTGTGAATTCAACCAAAACAATTGGTTTCATTGCTTTCCTTTGTCAGTGTTGAGTTTCAACTTGCCTAGCCAACATATGGAGCTTTGATTCAGATTAATTGTTAATCACTGCAGGTCTTTGGACAGCAGAGAAAGCGCTCAAGTGACCACAGTAAGCTTTTAATTCATTTAAGGAAACGTACCAGAGATTAGAAACAGTATCCGACTTGGGTCTTAAATTAAAAAAGGGCATTGCAACTTTGCTTGAGTAGCATAAAGGTCTCTCTGCTTAATTTTTTTCTATTTGTATTTGGATATAAACTGATTCCAGACAGGCCTCCCTGAAATCCAATCCATTGTAGATAATAACGTGAATACTCAGGCTTTTAGCTGGGAATATTACATAGGATATACACCTTATACAGTAGGGGGGTATCCTCCTCCAGAACATTTTGAAATTTAGACTCTCTGAAAAGCTATTTCCTGCATTTTGAGGTGGAATGCAGCTAACTTTTTTTCTTTGTTACAACACTACTATTGTCCTGATTACGGGAGGTATGTGTGCTTGACTAGAGGTGTAAATTTTTCTAAGGAAGACATGAGATCATTTTCAGATACAATATTATGTTTCATAGGTTAATTCAAAACATCAGAAAGTGTAATGCTACGTTCACATAGCACATGCTTTCAGCATCAAAAAAGCGCCTGCTGATTATATTCAGTAAAGTGTGTATAGATGCATCTGATGCTTGTGCTGCTCCTGTGTACAATGGCAGAGAGCGGTTTTGCTATATTCTCTGTGATACGTTGATTTAAAAGTAGCTTTAATATGTTTTTAAGTGAGAAAGTCAACCTTAAAACATCATCTCTGCAGTTAGTTCATCCAAATTACGATCCTGTCTTTTCCAACTTTGTGAAATTTAGGGGGGAAATTACGGTGTACCAAAGCTGTACATCCCGAAAACTAGTCATACAATTAGTCATTCTTTAAGTACATATTGCTAACTCAAAGCTTGTGAATACTTATTTAACCTGAAACTCTGCATTTGCTAAAATATCAATAACTACCCTGCAAACAATAGTCATCCATTTGGTGTTGTTTTTATGCTCTCAATACCCTCATACAGACAAGAAAGTGTCACTAAGATGCTTTGACCAAAGTTTGCTAGTTTGACCAACATTCAAGTCAAAACAAACTACATAAAGAGGTGTAAACATTCTAGCAGTGATACTGGAACAAAGTAAAAAAAAAAATGTGTAAAAGTCCAAGTGATAAAAAAATGGCATTAAACAAATTTAATCACACATGCTGGAAGAGGATTTACTCTTTTTCTGGGCAATAAAAGGAGATTCAGGGGCACAATTTACCTTTAACCCCATTTCCATTTTCTCAACACCCTTAATCCCAAGTGGGTTGTTCTGGTGCCTATCTCCAGCTGTCTACGGGCGAGAGGCGGGGTACACCCTGGACAGGTCGCCAGTCCCTCACAAGGCAACACAGACAAACAACGATTCACGCACACATTCACACCTAAGGAGAATTTAGAGAAGCCATTTGACCTAACAGTCATGTTTTCTGGACAGTGGGAGGAGGCTGGAGAACCTGGAGAAAACCCACGCATGCTCAGGGAGAACATGCAAACTCCATGCAGAAATCAAACCCGTGACCTTCTTGCCCAATCCTGTTTCAAATCCTTCAAACTGTCTATTTTAAGACCAGAATTCAGTTGAAGAACATGAGCTGTACATTATTCTATTTACTCTACAAGAGTTAATTGCAATACAGTTAACAACTTGAATTTTTGTTATTTCAAATATATGTTCAGTAAATGAAGCTATTAAGCAGAAGACAATTGGATTACGTTTAAACTTAAAATATTATGCTTTAGCTGAATTTGGACTTTAATACAAATTTTATTTAATCACACTAGGAATGTTTGTGTCCTACAATTATGGTTAGGTTTAAGAGAATTAATTAGTAGATTTAAGACTGGCTCCTATTCTACTCTGCATCTGTCAATCAAATATATTTTTTACAAAACTGATTTATATCACTGAAAAACATTTTGGATTTTTATCAATCAGGTTTTTGTAAACATTACAATAGAGAAACTTAATTTAGTTTTTAATGAACCTCAGACGTTATCTGATTGCAGCGTTCTACAGTTGATCATATTTTATTAATCCCACCTAAATGCTTTTGTTGGTATTTTTGGCAGTGCTCAGCCGTCCTAAATCACATCTTCATGAAAGATATGTTTTGAGGGTCGATATGTAACGATAAATCCACTGTTCATCTCTTCATCATTACCTAGATAATTAAGCTACCTTGGATTTTGCATAGCAGTACTATAACGTTCCATCTCTCAGTTCTGTTTACATAAAACACAACTATATTAGTCTTTCACCAGGTGCCCACAGTCCAGTAACATTCACTTTTTGTACACTGCAGCTAGTTTGCCTTTTCTAACAGATAAGATTTGTATAGATCAGTGCTTCTATGTTGCTTTTATGTGTCAGCTTCTGTGTATTTAAATCCAACCCGGCTTCAGCAGAAGGCTGCTCACACAACGCCTCCACTGTTACTGCATGCATGCTCAATGTAAGAGATTGCTGTAGAGTCAATGGCATAATGCAAACAAATATCTACTGTTTTCACATACTCATCCAGGAGGAGCAACTGCTATATAG